CACGACTCCCAGGTGGTGTCAATCTTCATTCATTCATCTCCGTCCAAGCGTACCAAGTTTCAGCTCACACGTGGACTTCTTCCAGCTTCTTCCAACACGTCACCGGAACGAAAACACAAGCCAGACCGGACAGCTAACAATGTTCAATAACAATCCCCATTTCCTAATAAACTGATAAACCAGTCAGTGATACTGGTAAAAATTATAGTGCTATCAGTTCACCGTCTATTTGGAGTCTTCTTGCTATCAGTTTACCGTCTAATTGCCATCTACCTCGTCAACGTAAAACAAAAGGCTTTTATAGCCAAAGCAGACTCCCTAACTCAGTACAAATAAATATGCAAAATAGGGATAAATTGACAAAAGAACACAACATAAAGCGACCGAGGACAATATGACGTTTCAATAAAACCCCAACTACAAATTACACAAATAATAAATACATAAAAATAAACTCAAACGTAACAAATGTGCACAATTAATTATCCCAAACTGATCATGTATGTGAATTGTACCTATGTACTTTGCACATAGAAAAAATAAACCAGAAAAAAAGCTCAATTTGTAGAAATCTTCTGATTTTGCAGTCAAACCACTAATGTTGTTAAAGTCTAGGTGCAATCCCACCACTCATGATGATAGTTTCTCCGCTAATGAAGGAAGCGTCATCAGAACATAGAAAAGAAACAACCCCGGCACACTCAGATGGCTGTCCAATTCTGAAAGTAAGAACCATGAAAAAAAGATTGAATAAAATAGACACAGACTTTATCTTATTACTGTCACAAAAAATATGATATGCATTTCCAAAGATGACTGCTTGTTGACTCCTGTGTGCGAAGTACACAATAACCTGTGTGTGTGTATATATGTCGGTTCCACGGATATCTCAAGAACGGCTAGTCAGACTTCAATGAAACTTGGTACATAGATGTCCTTAACAATGTACAGAATTGAGTTTTAGGATAAAATCTGTGCATACTAATTACATAATTTGCATAATAATGTGACAACCTAATTAGCCTGAAGACAATGCTAATGACCTGATTAGTTTTAGAACAAAATCAAGCATACCAATTGCCTAATTTGCATAATATGCTATCATCACATTTCATTCAAATTTGGTATATATATGCTCACGGATAATAATCCACAGATATGATTAGTTAAAGTTGAAAACCATGCATATTGATTATCTAATTATTATTAGCCAATCTCTGATATCTCAAAAATCAGATTTAAATTGAACTTGTGATGAAGGTTCTCTGGAATAAATTAGACTGCAAACCACAGATGTACAATCAAATTTATTTTCTATGAGTATTATAAACTTCAATTATGTGGATCACATTTCCAGGTTCAACTAGTTGCCATGCTTCTTGTTTGAAAGGTGAATCTTAAATTTTGAATTCATTTTTAATACGCCTCCAATACTCTCAGGACACAGGAGTTCTTTCTAGGCTTTTTTTTTTTTATTTTTCTATACAGTACCTTTGCTTCATAACACATTTATAATAAATTGCAAATACTGATCATCATCTCTCATTCAAATTCAAATATTTAATAGTGATTGGCTCAAAAGCTAAACTGTGTTCATACCCATAATGCACACATACCTTTACAAAAGTAACCCACCACTTATTTAAAATGAGGTACTGTAAAACATGTTGAAAAAGCGGCATGCAATTTTAGCGAATTGTAGTAAAATGACATAATAGCGAAATGTTGATTTCGCGAATCTCTCTTGTAATTTCTTGTTTTCACAATACTTGTCTGTCACATGCCAAAAAAAATGCGCAGTTATCACCTCCATAAAAACAAAGAAAAACTGTAAGTGTAATTAGGAACCGCCCCAGATTTTTATGTTCCGGATTACACTATACAAATCCCCAAGCCTTGGCCATTTTGAATTTATAATAAAGTCATTAGCGACATCTTGCATTAGCGAATCAGTTCTCTCGCTAAATTCGCTAAAAAGACATGCTTGCAAAAAGAACATGTTTTACAGTACTTCCTGATTGGATAATGTTGAACTAACTTGTTAATATTAATAAGGACTAATGTAATGATGTCCCAATACCAATTCTGGATTGGGTAATTTGAATTCTAATATTTTGATTTAAACATACTTATATCACTATTGAGTCAATTTGTGCACATGTGTTATCAAAGTTTCTTTATTGGTATGTTTTTTTAAAACCCTATTGAAATATACCTTATAAGAATGCATTTGTAAATTTGTAACAAGAACTCCAGTAACAACTGTTTTTACTTACCTACTCATAGGAATAAGAGCCTCAACATTTTTTCTGATGGATGGGTTCTTCCATGTCTACAAGGGAAAAACCACAAATGCTGAATTCAGCAGTAATTACAGGATTATTGGCCAATGTTGTACACACTCTTTGATTTTGTTATTTACCATTTCACTAAATCGGGTCTGAATAAGTCCTGGTGCTATACAATTTACTCGGATGTTTTTCTCACTGCATTCTGGGACAAGTGCTTTAGTTAAACCTAGCAGTGCTGTCTTGCTGACTCCATAGGCCCCTATCATCTGAAATGAATGTCATGATATTATTATATTCTTAGATGAAAGTTACAATATATACTAATGAGAATGGAATGTGAGAGTTATTTTTCATCTTCATATCTGAAGAATTTAATTCATTTATAGAATTCTTACCTTTTCTAGTGTATAACCAGAGAGAGAAGATATCATTACAATATTACCACCACTAGAGAAATGAAAAAAAAATATGTTAAATGTACGGAGGTGATATTTTGAAAATATTATATACCTGCGTGTGTACAGATGACATTTAATAGTGTACATTACAATATAGAAAAATATACTATAGAGTAAATTACACAATATAATGGATTGCACAACACAAAGGATTACATTAAGAAAAAGTACCTTAAGATTAACTCACCCACGCTTCTCGATATGTGGAACAATTTCTTTGATCAATAGAAATGTTGCTTTCACATTAATATCAAATATCTGTCAGACAGAAAAAATAAAATAAAATTAGCCAATATGTGATTAGCTGATATAAGGTTAAATTAGCCAATATAAGGTGGGTGGTCACAATGGTAACTGGTTAGGGGTGTATATAAGATATAAGGTGGGTGGTCACAATGGTAACTGGTTAGGGGTGTATATAGGATATAAAGTGGGTGGTCACAATGGTAACTGGTTAGGGGTGTATATAGGATATAAGGTGGGTGATCACAATGGTAACTGGTTAGGGGTGTATATAGGATATAAGGTGGGTGATCACAATGGTAACTGGTTAGGGGTGTATATAGGATATAAGGTGGGTGGTCACCCAATGGTA